TCCGGCTAACCTTCCTTGCGATACGACCCGGTGTCGAATCTTTTGATTCTACTCCGATAAAAATACTAACAACAACGACGACATGTATTCATTAATAGATTCTACGATATCGAGTGTTGTCGTAAGTATAGCTCTATCCTTCAAGTAACTTGGATCGTCGGTTGCATTCTTGAACATCGGAAACGTGTTTTCAACAATTTTTGCAATTGGATCATCGGATGACTCTAGTAATAGATCATCTGGTATGTCTATCGGAGAACATCCATCATGTTGTTATGTTATTCTTAACAACGATATAATTTATGATTAAGTGGGTAATTTAGAATGATTTGAACGTAAAGCATGTAAGATTGAATCGACAATGGCCTCGGTCCGAGGTGAACCGAGGTGAAGAGCCGTGATGGGCTTTTACGTGTTGCTTTATCAAGTTTTTTCAATTCGGAGAGAGCCCTTTTCACAAATGTCATAGGCCCGCTATTTATAGTGATTTCGGGTTGATACATTGGGATCTGTGCATGACTTTTTCGAATAAAGCTACTTTTTGTGGGCGGTTCGAGGCGGGGGGTCCCACATAAATGATGACGGATCTTGTGGAGTTGGAGAGTCAGACGTAGGCGCCTTGTCACCTGCTTAGGGAGGTGACGACCTCGGTTCATGTTGATCTCGGAAGATGTTGGCCTCGGTAGTCGTTGACCACTTCGGCCTTTGGTGGTTCAGACCGGTTCTTTTGTGTAGATCGGTGCGGTTCTGATTCACGTCGGTTTATCAGTTAATCGCATTTAATAGAATGCTTAAAACCTCTTAACAGTGTCTTGCCGAGTTGGATAATAACAGAGAGGCCCCCAACATCGATGGGCATACGGAGTGATGGTCGTTGATGTTGCAATATACCAGGTGTTTAGAGACCCTTGGATCGGCAAGAAGTCGGCGGTAGGATGTGGTCTATGGTGTTCGGTGGGTCTTCTTCGGTCGATTTACTGATGTAACCGAAGTGGATCATCTGTCCGAAGTGTAGACTGTATGCCGAGGTGAAGACACTTGGTAAAATTTGCGTAACTTGCAGGCAGCTTGGGCAGGAAAAAGACGAACAGTCGTAACGGTCAGTTTAATGTGAGTGAATGGTTGCGCCGTAAAGACCTTAAATGAGGTAACGGTCGACTTTAATAGGACGCCACGTGTATTTGTAGGTGCCTGTTAGGCGAAGAGGTGGTGTCGATTGGAATTAGGGGTCGCGTCGGTTAGACGCGCCCCTAATTAAAGTCTCTAACGGTCGTGAATCGGCAATTATAAATAGGGTTTCGCAGTGTCTGATCGAACTTTCTTCACCTGTGCTTTCATTCTCGAATTTTTGTGTTCGATAATCCTGTTGTAGAAATCCTTTTTGAGCTTGAGAGTTGTTTCTTGTGCGCTGAATATTTCCGGTCCGGATTCGTGGTAAGTTTCTTCTTTGATTCTTTGTTCATTTCTTTTGTGTTGTGTTCTGTGGTTCGATGGCGTCAAAAGGTAAGGGTAAGGCGGTGGCTAGTTCATCGAGTACGGAGTCG